CAACCTCGACGGTCGCCGTGGCCCCGGTCGCATCTGCCTTGGAGAAGAAGACAAAGAGCAAGGGGCCCTACATCTGCGCCCTGTGCGCCAAGGAGTTCAAGAACGGCTACAATCTCCGAAGGCACGAGGCCATCCACACCGGAGCCAAAGCCGGCCGGGTCCCCTCGGGTGCTATGAAGATGCCCACCATGGTGCCCCTAAGCCTCTTGAGCGTGCCCCAACTGAGCGGAGCCGGCGGGGGAGGGGGAGAGGCGGGTGCCGGTGGCGGAGCGGCCGCAGTGGCCGCCGGTGGTGTGGTGACCACGACCGCCTCGGGAAAGCGCATCCGGAAGAACCACGCCTGCGAGATGTGCGGCAAGGCCTTCCGCGACGTCTACCACCTGAACCGACACAAGCTGTCGCACTCGGACGAGAAGCCGTACCAGTGCCCGGTGTGCCAGCAGCGCTTCAAGCGCAAGGACCGCATGAGCTACCACGTGCGCTCACATGACGGCGCTGTGCACAAGCCCTACAACTGCTCCCACTGTGGCAAGAGCTTCTCCCGGTGTGCACGGGGCCTCGGCCGCCCGCTGGGCGGGTGGGGAGGGAGGGAAGGTCGGCGGTGGAGGTGGCCTGGCCTTGGCTGGTGGGGAGGGAGGGAGGTTTCTGAGGATGGGGACTGGGAGCCACTCCCAGGGAGGAGGGAGGAAAGCCTCTCCCGGTTACCAGGGAGCAGGGGGTGGTCCTTAGCAAAAGGAGGTGGGTCCTTGGGTTGTAGGAGCGCTTTGAGTGGGAGGAGGCCGAGGCCGCCTAGAGTGAGAGGAGGGATTTCCTGCCTAACCGGGACTCGAATCCCTGGGCTTGGGAGAAAACGCAGGGCCCTTGCAAATGCTTGATGGACCGAGTTAGGCAGACTCGGGGACCCCTCCACACCCCAGGGCCCTAACCCCAACCCCAACGTGTCCCCAGGCCGGATCACCTCAACAGTCACGTCAGACAAGTGCACTCAACAGAACGGCCCTTCAAATGTGAGGTAGGAAGCCCGCCTCCTCCTGTCCTGATTTTCATGATTTTGATCCTCATTGTAGTTGTCTGAGTTCAGCCTCTCAGAGCCCCTTTTTCTCTCTTCTTTTTGCTTTTTCACTCCATTTTCTCATCCCTTCTTCAAGACCTCATCATCTCACTCCCATTTCCTACAGATCAAAGACCCCCAAGGCTCTGATTCCTTTAACCTCTTGTCCCCCTCGCCCCACTCCCCGAAGCTTTAACTCTCCTGACACCCCCCACGCCCCTCCCCCCTCCCCAGAAATGTGAGGCAGCTTTTGCTACGAAGGACCGTCTGCGGGCCCACACAGTACGACACGAGGAGAAGGTGCCATGTCACGTGTGTGGCAAGATGTTGAGCTCGGCTTATATTTCGGACCACATGAAGGTGCACAGCCAGGGTCCTCACCATGTCTGTGAGCTCTGCAACAAAGGTACATGCTGAGAGATGCCGGGAGGGCCAGGGACAGAGGGTGGGGACAAAACCAGAGGCCCTTCCACAGATGTGGGTTAAAGGTGCTGTAGCCAAGAGCTCGTGGCATCTAGATCCCTTTAGAAAGCACACGAGGAAACGTTGGGACTACGTTAGAACATCATTAAGTTCTAAGATGTCATGGCTGGAGGAGATGATCTACCAGAGTCAACTCTTGGGTGTGTGTGGGGAGATGGGAGGGGGCACGACTGCTTTGGGGAGGGAGTGGTCAAGAGAGCCAGTTCCCACCGGTTGGCAGGCAAGGTTTCAGCTGTGCAGCCACAAGTTCTTGTCTTCAGCTCCTGGGGCAAGTGGAGTACGTTGGCAGAGATTTACAAAGTACTCGCCCTGTCTCAGTAGCAGAGGGAGCTGCTTTTAAACAAATTCACTCCACTGAGTAACTGGGCTGAGACTGTATGGGGCACTGGAGGGAGGGGACACAGCCGTCTCTGCTGAGGGTCAACTCTTCAAGTGGCTAGGAATCAGTGTCCTGTCGCCCCAGGAGAGATCCCCCAGCCACAGAGAATGGACTCTGGGGACACCAAGGCCCAGAAGCCACCACCATTCAACCAGTTCCCACACTCGGGGAGCTGTGCCCCCCCCCCCAGCCCCAGCAGAGTAGTTGGCCCCAGGCTACCAAGGATGTGGTGGGAGGAGGACAGAGCCATCTGAGGAGGGCGTCCCCAGCCTAGGAGAACAACCCCGTCTCTGGGGTCTCCGCCTGGCTGACCCCCACCCCCCCATCCCCATCCACCCCCCCCACTAGGCTTCACCACGGCAGCATACCTGCGCATCCACGCGGTGAAGGACCATGGGCTCCAGGCCCCGCGGGCTGACCGCATCCTGTGCAAGCTGTGCAGCGTGCACTGCAAGACCCCTGCCCAGCTGGCCGGCCACATGCAGACCCATCTGGGGGGGGCCGCCCCCCCTGTCCCGGGAGATGCCCCCCAGCCACAGCCCACCTGCTGAGGGGGACCCCCGCACCCACCAGGCAAGGCGTGGGGCATGGCTGGGGGGGGTGGGATGGGGTGCGTGGGACGAGGGGGCTCACAGGACCCAATAGGGGATCTTAGGAAGGCCAGGGATGCCCAGCTATCCCCAAGTTAGGGAGACTTCTGGGACCAGGGAGGGCCTTTCAGGAGAAGGAGGTAAGGATGCAGGCCGAAATCTCAACTAAACAGGGAGTGAGCAACGGCTGTGTCCCAGGGGAGGGCGTCTGGGGCAAGGGGCAAGGCTCTTGCCATTCAGATCGCACTGTGATCTCCTGGTGTTTCTCACCCTGCAGGTACAGGTGAGGTCTGTCCAATGGCAGGTGAGGTCTGTCCAATGGCGGCAGCGGCGGCAGCAGCGGCGGCAGCAGCAGCAGTGGCAGCCCCACCCACAGCCGTGGGCTCCCTCTCGGGGGCCGAGGGGGTGCCTGTGAGCTCTCAGCCACTTCCCTCCCAGCCCTGGTGAGCTCCAAGTTGGTGGGGGGGAGAGGGGAGAATGGAGGAAAGTCCCTCGGCACCATCTCCTCTTCCCCTCTCTTTTCCCACCAACTCCTCACTACTTCCCCCACCAACCAAGGAGCCTCCAGAAGGAAAGGAGGAAATGTTTTCTTAGGAGAATTCGCTAGGTTTTAACGATTTGTTTCTCCTGCTCCTCTCTCCTCCCTGTGAGACCTGACCCCACACACACCTGTTCCCTTGGTTGTGCTGAAGTCCCCTGGACAGTGGGCAGGGGGGAGCAGAGACCAGGAGTGGCCACTGCCCTCACCCCCTCTCCTCTCTGTGACCCCCTGGCCTGCCCTTCCAGGGGTTTGTGAGCCTTCTCCCCCGGTGGTCCTTCTTGCTCTCCTCCTCCCAGTGCCCCCGCCCCCGTCTGCTGCCCCTCCCTGGGGAGTTGGTGCTTTTTTTTTTTTTTTTCCAGGGGGAGGGAGGAGAGGAAGGAGGGAAATCAAAGATTCTGTCCCAGAGATGGGGAAAGGTGAGATTTGAGAAGGGGCAGAAGGCAAAGGTTGTACCTTCATCAGGTGGGGTTGTTTGGGGTCAGGCCCTGAACATCATCCTGCTTAAGAATCTGTCAGGGGAAAACAAGTCAAGGGGAGCAAAAGAAGGAGCCACTAGGGCCAGAGGCAGGACGAGATGGAATCCTAGGGGCCAGGGTAAATGGAGGTATCCAGGGACTAGAGGTGCTTCCTGGGGGTGGGGGGAATGCAGCCACAGTGTCTCCCCCTTCCCTCTTCCACCCCAGCTCCAGCCCTGGCCTTTTCTTTTCATCCCTCTCCCCCACGACAGAAGCTGTGGCCCTGGCCATGTCATCGTGTTCCGGTGTCCCCTGCATGTTCCCCACCCTTCACCCCCTCCTTTTGCGCGGACCCCATTACAATAAATTTTAAATAAAAACCTGTCTCAGACTCAATGAATGAATTGCTTTCACCAAGCCCCCTGTTCCCACCCCTAAGGGAATTTTTAGGCCTGCAGTCGGTCAGCCAGTTGCAGCCTTGCTCTGCCCTGTGCAGCTCTGAGGCTCGGGCTTCGGCTCCTTCCCCAGAGGCAGCACCAGATTCAGGGTGGGGCCGAGGCTCCTAGGCTGTGGGGAGCAAGTTCTAGGACTCCGGAGTCTGGGGAATACTCAATCCACCCAAGCCCAGAATAGCCCCTGGAGGTTTGAAGAGGCCTGGGTCAGAAACCCAAACAGTTGCTCGCTGGACATAAATGTTGCTTTTCCCCTTCCCCTGTCCAGACCCACTGCCTGCTGCTCACATCCCAGCCCAGTACCTGCACACTTTTAAGGCCCTGAGAGGTGATGGATGATGTAGCTGTGGAAAGACTGGGCAACTCAGCCCTAGGACTGGGAACAAAGACGTTGAAAATAAAAACTGCACTTCTCCCCAGTCGTCCTCTTCGTACTTGGTGTGGTCCACCCTGCTCTTACCCAGCCCTCTCCTGCTGTTCCAGACTGCTCTTGCAGCCTCCATCCTGCCCCTTGGAATTCCCTTCCCAGTCACAGCTCTGACCCTTCCAGGGACCCTTTTCTTGAGCCTTCCATTACCCATTTCTGCTGCTGCTGCTTCCTTGGCGGTAGAGGGACTCGCCGTTCTGCAGGCTCCCTTCTGGAAACTCCACCCTGATCATCCTCTGCAGCCTCTCCCAAGTTTGGCCTCATCCCCCTTCCCTTCCTGCTGGTAGGGGTGCCTCCACCTGGTCCAGCCTGTCTCACTGGTCCAGCCTCCTCGGAGACCCCTCTCCGCTTCCCCTGACCCCCTGCCTCTACCAGGACCCCCGGTGACCGTTAGCGGGAGGGGCCCGGGGCCTGGGAAGGGGACACCCCCAGGAGGCGCGCGGGGGAAGGGCTAGGGAGCCGCGCGAGTGGTCCCCCGGCCGGTTGCCCAGGTAACGCGGGGCCTGGCACGCGTGGCTCCCTCCGGCTGGCCGGGAGGGGCGGGAGCCGTGCAAGGGGCGGGGGCGGTGCGCGGCAGCGAAGCGTAGGGGAGGGGACCTGAGAGGAGGGGATGAGCCGAGGGGAGGGGAGACCCGCCACCTCCCTCCCTCGCTGACTTGCTCCCTCCCTGGCTGCGGCGGCTGCAACCGCGGCGGTGGCGGCGGCGGCGGCGGCAGCAGCCGGAGCAGTCTGGAGGCCGGCGTCGAGGTGAGACGGGAATAGACTGACTGAACCTGCGGGTAGGAGTGGACGGACAGACCGCGGACGCCGGGAAGGCTGTACCGGAATGCGGGCGCCTGATGGACTGACGGGTGGTGCTGGGCGCGCCACACCAATGGGAGGAGACGGCGCCGGTCCCCCGGGGGCGAGGGAATCCCTGGGAGAGGGGCTGGGAAGGGGCTCAGCGGAGATGCCCAGGTCCCCGAGGGAGGGGCGCGGGCGTCTACGCCCCAGAAGCGCAGCACGAAAACCGCACCGGCTGGGAGCCCAGGGAGGAAGGGAGGATGCAGAGAGTGGAATGTGAGTTTCGGGGTCCTTTGCCCAGTCTGCCTATAGGAACGTCTGAGTCGGAACAGCTTGTTGATTTTGGGGTGCTGTGGTATCTGCTAGGATGAGTCTGGATCTTGTTGGGTGGACCCAGGAAGAGACCGTGGGGAACCCTGTTTACAAAAGGGTTCATCTTCACAGGGCTCTCCAACCAGAAGCCTGAGCAGAGCACTCCTCCCCAGAGATGTCCCACCCCAAAGCAAAGGAAACCCCAACTTTTCTTCCTTTTCCCCAGAGGCAGTCCAAGGCTGGCCCTGAGAAAGGAGCATTGCCCTCTTGGGCTGCAGTGCTGAAAGCTACCTTTTCCCTCTTCACACCAAGCCTGTCTCCTCCTCTTGCAGGATTTGCTGCTGTCTTCGCCGCTGCTCCATCCTTCCCTCAGAGGCCCTCTCCCCTCTCCTGTCTCAAGATGGCAGCTAGCAGCTCTGAGGTCTCTGAGATTAAGGGGGTAGAGGAGGGTCCCCAGACCCAGGGAGAAGGGCCTGGCCATTCTGAAGGCCAAACTGGCTCTCCCCAGGTCCCAGTTGGGGTCTCAGATGAGCCAGAGACCCTGCAGCCAGGCCCAGACGTCATGGGGGCCCCTGTGGACTCAGAGCCCAAGGTTGGGCTGGCTCCAGAAACCACAGAGACCCCAACTGGGGCCCCTGAAGCAGCTCAGGCCAGAGACCTCAGCTCAAGCCCAGGAGGGGAAGCAAAGGCCAACTCCAGCACTGAAGAAACATGCCAAGAGCTAGCATCCAAACCCGAAGTGAGCAAAGAGGCCACTGCAGACCCGGAATCCAACCTGGAATCCGCAGCCCCGCTTAAGCCAGCCTCAGAGCCTGCCCCCCAGCCAGAACCCCAGTCAGAGCCCCAGCCAGAGCCCCAGTCAGCCTCCCAGTCCACCTCCACACCAGCCCTTCAGCCAGAGCCCCCTACCAAGGAGGAGCCCACCTCTGAGATCCTGAGCGAGAGCATGGGAGAAAAGCAGGAGAATGGGGCAGTGGTTCCCCTGCAGGCTGGTGATGGGGATGGGGAAGAGGGTCCAGCCCCCCAGCCTCACTCATCACCCTCCACAAAGACCCCCCCAGCCAATGGGGCCCCACCCCGTGTGCTGCAGCAGCTGGTGGAGGAGGATCGACTAGGAAGGGCTCACAGTGGGCATTCAGGATCTCCCCGAGGAAGCCTGAGCCGCCACCCTAGCTCCCAGCTCGCAGGGTCTGGGGTGGAGGGGGGTGAAGGCACCCAGAAACCTCGGGACTACATCATCCTCGCCATCCTGTCCTGCTTCTGCCCCATGTGGCCTGTCAACATCGTGGCCTTCGCTTATGCCGTCATGGTGAGCCCCAGGGGACCCTGCCTGGTCCAGGCCTGCAGCGGTTCCCAGTTTCCTGCCCCTTGCTGGGACACAGCTCCAGGAGTAACCCCGCCTCCCCTCCCCTCTCTGCATGGATCTCACTTCCCAATTACAGGGCCTTTGCTCACCTCTCCCTGGGACTTCACCTTTTGATCTCTACCCCATCAGGTGGGAGGGAAGTTGAGACATTTCACACAGTCTTACTGACCTGTGCCCTTCTGCTGCCTCTCAACCCCCTTCCTCCCATAACCATTGTCCACCGGCTGGCCTGTCTCCTCTGGACGACTCCTACACCCGATCTCTGCCTGGCTGGTATTTCCTGACCTGGGCTGGTGCCCCCACCCCTCACTCTAACCCCAGTCCCGAAACAGCCTGCAACAGGGGGACGTGGATGGGGCCCAGCGTCTGGGTCGCGTGGCCAAGCTCTTAAGCATCGTGGCACTGGTAGGGGGGATCCTCATCATTATCGCCTCCTGCGTCATCAACTTAGGCGGTGAGTGGGGGTCTGGGACAGGCCGGGAGGAATGGAAGGGCTGGCAAGGGCGGCTTTACTAACCCCTGCCCCTGCTCTCTCCTGTCTGTTCTCCCTACTTCTTTGTCTCTCCTTGTCTCCCCCAACCCCCCTGCCCCACCGTCTCTGTCTGTCCCTCCCTCTCCTCTCCCACAGTGTATAAGTGAGGGGCTCTGCCCTGCATTCCAAGACTTTTTTTCCTGTTGGGAGCTGCCTTGGGCCCATCTTCCCCTGGGGGGAGCCCAATCCATGGCCCAGGCCCGCACCCATAGGGACCAAGGGAGCCTGAGCGGCCTTGTTTACAGCTTCTTTCCTGTTCCTGCATCCTGCCAGGCTCCTCTGCCAACCGTAGGCCTCCCTTCTCCCTGCACTGTTTCCAACCTCCCTGCACTTCTGCCTGCACCCCCTCCAGCCTCTCGGCTTCCCTATCCTTGCACTTCTGGAAACCTCCCTGCACTTTTGGAATCCTCCCTGAACATCTCCCCATCTCTCTGTACTCTCAGCCTCCCTGCATCTCTCCCCACCTTCCTGCACTACAACCTCCCCGAATTTCCTGCACCTCGACCCTGGTCTCCCTTTCCTAACTTTCATTGTCTCAGCTTCCTCCCCTCATTCCTTTCTTCTTCCCACCTAATTCATCGCCACTTCCCTCCCCACACCCTCCGCCCCCTTCCTCTTCCTGCCTCCTCATCTCCCTCCAGCATCCTCTCCTCCACCCTCCTCCACCGTTTATTCAACAAAAACTCCAGCATTTAGAACAGGCTGGGGGTGGGGGGGAGGGGTGTCAGGAAAGGGCTCCCTCGCCCAGGCTCCGACTGTTCTCTGTTGGGACCACCCAGGTCCGGACGACCCCCAGGGTGCCTCGGGGTCGCAAAGCCGGCCAGCCAGGCCTCATTTGGAGACTTATGCAGGGGTGGCGTGTTCCGAACACGCACCTGGGAGAACGGAGGGGCATGGCTGTTGACCCTCCCTGGTCAGCCTGAGTTGACCTGTCCCATCTGGGCTTTTTAACCCAGTCAGCGAACTCGTCGGAGCTGGGGTCATTCACGTACTTTGTAAGAAAAAGAACCCCCCAAATAGGACCAAAGCTCCCAGCTGCAGGGAGCAAGGGAAGGGCGGAGAGGTGTATTATTCTTTTCTAAGAGGACGAGAGAGGTTTGTTGCACGCGACAGTCCGCTGGGGAGGCGGGGACCGAGCCACAACGCGGTTCGGAGTTGGCGGTTGTTTTTTTTTTTTCCCTAAAAAAAGTGTAGGGAAAAAAGCCTAAAAGTCTAAAAACAAACAAAAAAAAGGATACATCAACTGATTTTCCCTTTTTGTATGCCGATGCTGCATGGGTCTGAGACACCAATAAACGGAGACTGCATGAGACTCGCCTCTAGCCTCAGTTGGTCCTTAACATGCGTGCGCCGCGGGGGCCGGAGGTACTGCCTCCTTTCACGCAGAACCTACTGCGTCGTTTGCGCATGCGCTGCCCCGGTGGCCATCTTTACTGTGGGCCGAAGCCTATTATTCCGGAGCGCCTACCTGCGCATGTGCAAGCCTTCCCTCGCTTTCCTCTTCCAAGTAGCTTAGACTAAAGCGGAACCTCCCGCGCCATTTCGGTGCGTCTGCGTACTGTGACCCTGCGTAGCCCGGGAGGCGGGTCTTAGCTCCAGGTGCGTACGGTAGCTGAGGTGGCGAAACTTCGAGGTGTGGGGAGAGGGTGCTGGATCCAGGTGTAGAGAGGGGTGGCCTGAAGGCGAGAAGAGGGGGTCCGCCCCTCTCCGGCCTCGAGAGTGGTTTCTGTGGGTCCCTGGGAACGTCGGAATACCAGATCTCGATCCGTGGGGGTGGGGTCCTCGTAGGGGACTTGAGCGCCCCCTTCTGGGGACCGGCAGGTCTGTTCGCAGGGACTGTTGTTGGAACCTGATTGGTTAGACAGACGTTCTCTGAAGCCCCGGGAAGCCCTACCCGCGGAGGCGGGGGTGGGGGATCCCTGGCTTAGTACTCCTGCCATCTCCTGTCATCGCAGGGCCCCTTCCCTAGTGGCATATGTCCCTTGTCCGGGGCCATGGAGACATTGCAGCCACCACGGCGCCGCCTCTCTCTGAAGAAGGGGAAGTGACCTCCGGTCTCCAGGCTCTGGCTGTGGAGGATACCGGAGGCCCCTCTGCTTCGGCCAATCAAGCCGAGGAAGAGGGAGAAGGAGGCCGGGAGGAGGCTGAGCATGAGGGGTCCGGGGCCGAGGAGGTGCAGGGAGAAGCCCCCAGCCTTGAGGGGGAGGAGCGTGCCAAGGGAGAATCCGAGGACTGGTGCGTGCCCTGCAGCGATGAAGAGGTGGAGCTGCCCGCAGATGGGCAGTCCTGGATGCCACCCCCCTCTGAAATCCAACGGCTCTATGAACTGCTGGCTGCCCACGGTACCCTGGAGCTTCAGGCTGAGATCCTGCCCCGCCGGCCACCCACGCCTGAGGCCCAGAGTGAAGAGGAGAGATCCGATGAGGAGCCAGAGGCCAAAGAGGAGGAAGAAGAAAAGTGAGGGCACACCCTGACACCTTGTCCTTGGGGCTCCTCCCCTGATGCCGGGAGGAAATAGGGAGGGGAGGCGGGACCCAGGATCATGGGAAGTGAAGGGAGGGAGGAGGGGGAGAAGAAGAACCAGGAGGTTGGGGACAAGTGTGGTTGTTTGGGGGTTGGGGGGGAACCACCTTCACCCTTCACTGTCTGTCCCCCTGCCCCAGACCACACATGCCTACAGAATTTGACTTTGATGATGAGCCAATGACACCAAAGGACTCCCTGATTGACCGGAGGCGCACCCCAGGTACAGAGGGTAGTACTGGGCAGCAGGGGTGGGGGTGTGGGGGTGAAGAGCCTCTGCTCCCACTTACTCAGAAAGTGACTCCCTAAAAGAGGCCTTGACTTGGTGCCTTGGTAGCTACACAACTTGTAGCTTCAGAGAGAGTATGCACCCAGTGGTGGCATCCTTCCAGCTTAGGTGGTCCCCTGTCTTCCCTTAAAAGGTTATCACAGATAATTTCATCATGCTTCTCATTACTTCTCAGTCATCCTCGAAGTCCAAGTCATTATTATTATTACCTAGATCCACATACCTACACTGCTGTGTGCAATGTCCTAATTGTACCGAGTTTCCCATCCTGTGTGCCTTCGTAGAGTTTACCCTCGGAGCCATTCTTGTTTTGTTTTGGGCCATGCTGCTCGACATGTGGGATCCTAGTTCCCTGACCAGAGATTGAACCCGTGCCCTTGCAGTGGAAGCACAGAGTTATAACCACTGGACCACCAGGGAAGTCCCCTTGCTGTTGTGCTGTGCTTAGTCGCTCAGACTCTTTGCAATCCCATGGACTGCAACCTGCCAGGCACCTCTGTCCATGGGGATTCTCCAGGCAAGAATACTAGAGTGGGTTGCCATGCTGTCCTCCAGGGGATCTTCTCAACCCAGCGATCGAACCCAGGTCTCCCACATTGCAGACAGATTCTTTACCATCTGAGCCACCAAGAAAGTCCCCTTGGAGCCATTTTAAAAAAAGATTTTTGGCTATGGTGGTCTTTATTGCTGTGCACAGGCTTTTTCTAGTTGCAGCGAGCAGGTACCACTCTTTGATACATGGGCGGGCATCTCATTGCAGTGGCTTCTTCTTTTGTGGAGCATGGGCTGTAGGGCACACGGGCTTCAGTAGTTGCAACTCCCGGGCTCTAGAGCAAGGGCTCCGTAGTTGTGGCACACAGACTTAGCTGCTCCAGGGCATGTGGGATCCTCCTGGATCAGGGATCGACCTCATGTCCCCTGCATTGTCAGGCAGACTCACAACCCTTGGACCATCAGGGACATCCTGGAGCCATTCCTGATTTCTGTTTCTTTCACCTCAACATTCAAGCTGGCAGCAAGTCTTGTTAGCTCTGCTTCCACATTTCCATGTTCAGCTCTCCACCTTTAACACGATATCCTCATTCAAGCCACCACCATCTCTGTCACCTGGAGAGTTGTGGTAGCTCTTAACTGGTCTTTCTGCCACCAGTCTCAGCACTAGAGACGGTTTATGTTTCAAAATATAAGCTGTGTCACTTCTCTTGATTTCAGTCCTCCAAATGATTCTATTAACGGGGGCTGAGGGGGTGGACGAGCATGCCAATTGAGAATCCAAGCCCCCCTCTCCTGCCACTCAAGGCTTCCATGTACACTAAGAGATCCAAACCCCTTATCATGGTCTGTAAGTCATTTCTTTGGCCTCATCTTTCCTGTCTCTGCTAGCTCTACATTTCTCATTGGACAGACCTCTGTGTTCCTTCCCTGGGGCTTTTGCACTTGCCTGTCCACTGCCTGGGACACTCCTCCCTGACCTTCACATTTCTGGCCTCTTCTCATAATTCAAACCTTCACTTACCACCCCATCTGAGACCCCAACCCTAAATCTCAGAACCTCCATGACGTCTATGGCAGTTATGTCTGAATGAATTGAAAAATTTATGTGGTTTACAAGTAGTCTTCTACCCTGCATGTAGAAAGATAATGTGCTTCTAATTCTAAAACTTTGAGTGTGAGTTGAATGTGCCAAAATGAAACCAAAAAATTAAAATGTGACAATATCCCCCCAAAAAGTGCCTTCACAACAGGCCTGGAAATCTCTGTTTAATAAGCTCCCTAAGTGATTAATAAGACCCAGGCAGTTCTGGCACATACTGCCTGACTCCCTTCCACATTTTTCACCTTCCCCTTCTTCAGGAAGCTCAGCCCGGAGCCAGAAACGGGAGGCCCGCCTGGACAAGGTCCTTTCAGACATGAAGCGACACAAGAAACTAGAGGAGCAGATCCTTCGTACCGGCAGGGACCTCTTCAGCCTGGACTCAGAGGACGCCAGCCCTGCCAGCCCCCCACTCCGATCCTCAGCGGGTAGTCTCTTCCCCCGGCAGCGGAAATACTGAGGCTGCTGAGTCTGCCTGCTGGGGCCTTGGCCCACCTTCCCTCACCCAGGGCCCACCTTCCCTCACCCAGGGCCTTGGGCAAGAGGAAAGATGTTCCCAGACTCCCACCACGACACCTTGCCAGAAAGAGGACTGATGCACGCGCGCGCGCGTGTGTGTGTGTGTGTGTTTATGTTTTCCCTTGAACATCTGTTGGGAGACCTGAGCCGAATTTTCTGAATTTAAAATAAAAAAATTAAAAAAACAAGTTACCTTTTCTTGGAGGAGAGGCTGCAGCTGAAGCCAAAACCCTTATGGAGGGGCAGGACTGTACTCACCCCGATTGGGCAATTAAAGGCAGATGGGGTAGAAGTGAACTCAGCACCTGCCCCCCTGCCTCGGGCTGTGGACCCTTCCCAGTCTCAGTCCAGTGCTCCCAGCTGGCTGTGAGGTGGGAATTCCCCGCCACTGAATGAGCTCAGTACCTTCAGCTGTAGTAGAAGCCACCTTGTTCATTAGTTGTTCAGTACTGTCTGACTCTTTAGCGACCCCATGGACTGTAGCCCCATGGACAGGCTCCTCTGTCCATGGGATTTCCCAGGCAAGAATACTGGAGGGGGTGTCATTTCCTTCTCCAGGGGATCTTCCTGACCTAGGGATCAAACCCGCATCTCCTGACTTGGTAGGCAGTTTATGACTGAATCACCTGGAAGTCAGAAGCCGCCTAGAGGTGGAGGGGAGAAAAGAAATGAGAACCAGCTGTGAGGGCCCTTTAAATCCCAAGCCCCACCCCTGAGCCTGCCCTGTCGGGAAGTGATCCCCAGGGCTGGCTGCTGGAGTTTACCAGAACTGAGCAGTCTATTGCAGCCAAGCCGCACTTCTGGATGTAAGTACTTCATAAAGGCCCCAGATCCCCAAACCAGTGAGTGGGACCTTGTGGCCCGCAAGTCCCTCTCCAGCTCTGTCGTGCCTTCTTGGGGCTTCAGCTGGGGCAAGTGGTCCCTGAACCAGAACTAGAAGATGGATGGCGGCTTAGCCTTGGGAGGGTTTGCTTTCCCTGTTGGGTTTTTTTTTTTTTTTTCTGGCTTCTGAAGTAAAGGTAGATCAACTTGTCACCTTGCCAACACCCCCAGATCCGAAATCTCAGGCCTTTCTGACCTCCAGCTCCCCCTGAGGGGTCCATTTAGACTCCCTCCTCGAGTGAGATTGGTCCCTACTAGATTTATCTTGCCTGTCCCCTTGAGCTCTTAGAACGTGATTTTTTTTTTTCCTCTCTTGAGATTCCTCGACTCCAAACATCGAGGTTTTCCCCTCTGCCCTGCTCAGGGCTGTGCCAGCTGTGGGCCTTGCAGATCATTTGAGAAATCATTGGCAGAGTAATCTTAAGGAAAGCTTGATTTCCAGAAGACATGGAGTTTACTGAGCAAGGCTCTGTTCGGTTTTTGTTTTTGACGGGGCGGGGGACAGGGTGACCAAAGCAAAAAGAGGAAGTTCTATTTTGGACCCACTGTCCTGTAATTCTGGGGATCTTAGAAGCACAGAGGGTTGGGGTGGGGGGTAGTAGTAGAAGCAGGTTGTGCCCTCTTTTCTCTGCTCCATGTCCAGGTAGGTCCCTAGGTTTTATGGGGAGAAGGACTGGCAGTCACTAGGATGCCAACTGACTCCTAGAAACTTCTGCCTGTCACCACCCTTGGCACACAGGACACCCGACCTACCCTGGGGGCGAGGTTTTCTGGGCAGGGCAGCTCTCTAAAGCCATGAGCATGTAGGGCAGCCACCTTGAATGGCTACTCGGGTCTCCTTGTTGGGTGCTGCCTTCCTAGGTTGCAGAGAATACCTTTGAACTTCACTGGCACTATCTCCTGAAGAGTACCCAGCCCCACCCAGGTCCTGAAGTCCTGACTCGAGTTTAGAATCTTACTGACATTTCTGCCTGAGAAGCCACACTACTTCCTGGTTTGGGGACTCTGCAGACACAGTGCCTGGGGTGGAATTCTGGCTCCATCCCTTGATCATTGTGCGATTCTGAGCAAATTCTTTAACTTCCAGGTTCTTTTTTTTTCTGTGAAGTTGCTCAGTCATGTCCGACTCTTTGTGATCCCGTGGACTGTAGCCTACCAGGCTCCTCTGTCCATGGAATTTTCCAGGCAAGAGCACTGGAGTGGGTTGCCATTTCCTTCTCCAGGGGAATCTTCCTGATCCAGGGATTGAACCCAGGTCTCTCCTGCATTGCAGACAGATGCTTTACCATCTGAGCCACCATCTCTTGATCACTGTGTGATTCTGAGCAAATTCTTTAACTTCTAGATTCTTAGGATTAAATGAGTTAATTAAAAACATTTAGCACAATACCAGGCCCAAATTAAGTTATTAATGAGTAGGAGCTGTTATGGGGGAAGGGAGAGGCACTTCCCACAGATAGAAATTCCAGAACCTCGCTCCTGGAAACCTTGTGAAAGTGTTGGTCACTCAGTTATGTCCGACTCTTTGCAACCCCTTGGACTGTAGTCAGGCTTCTTTGTCCATGGGATTTCCTGGAAATCTTAGTCCATGGGTATGGGGTAAGGCCTGGGAATCAAGACAACCAGCTGAGTCCTATGATTGGGCAATTTTAGAAAATGTTGATCTGGATCAGGGGTTCTGAAGCCTGGTTCCTGGGTCACTTCCAATCTAGCTGATTTTTGCTGTCAATGACTGGCATTAATTGGTGACATCTGGGAGTCGTTCTTTTAGTCGCTGAGTCGTATCTGACTCTCTACAATCTGATGGACACTAGCCCACCAGGCTTCTCTGTCCACAGGATTTCCTTAGCAGGAATACTGGAGTGGGTTGCCATTTCCTTCTCCAGGGGATCATCCGAACCCAGGGATGGAAACCGGTTCTCCAGCATTGCAGGTGGATTCCTTGCCCCTGAGCCACCAGGGAAGCCCGCATCTGGGAGGCAGGATAGAAACAGGATCAGCATCAGCCTGAGCTGGCAGAGCTGTTCTGTCCCCAGAACAAGCTGCTGCTCCCCAAAAGTGGCCCAGCGGGGTTGGAGCTCAGAAGACTTTCCTTGGAAGAAAAATTTCCTAAAAACTGCTGCTACTAAAGAAGTGGCTTATATGAGACAATTCTCAAGAATTTCCACTCTAGTCTCCTAAAACAGGAAATAATCTCCCTAAATAGGGAAGCTGTTTGGTAAAAACAGCTTCTCTGCAGTCCCTGAGTAATGCGATTCTTGAATTATTTAAACAAAGACTAGAATGTTTAAAATCAGTGAAGGGAAGCTGCAAAGATGAGTTCTGTTTGTGCTTGAGTTTTCTGTGTTTTTTTCCTAAACCTAAGCTTGATAGAGGGCTTCCCTGGTGGCTCAGTGGTAAAGAATCTACCTGCAAAGCAGGAGACCCAAGTTTGATACCTGGGTCGGGAAGATCCCTTGGAGAAGGAAATGGCTACCCGCTCCATATTCTTGCCAGGAAAATCTCATGGACAGAGGAGTCTGGCAGGCTACAGTCCATGAGGTTGCAAAAAGAGTTGGGCACGACATAGCAACTAAACAACAAATCTACTACAAACAAAACTTGATAGAGGTGGGGGGCGGTGGGTACCAAGGCTGTCTCCACCCTTTCCTCCAACCTCACGCCTGCCCATGGCTTGGGACCAAGGGACTTGAGCGTTGGCTGGGGTGCTACTTGGACCTGGGGGTAAGGGGCTGGGAAAATACATGAAACTTTCTGCATTTGAGGAACAGTTTGCCATCTGGATTCACCTTCCTCCTCCTAGCCACCCTTCCTGCTCTACATTAGACATAATCCAATCATTAACCCCTTGAACCCCAGGAAGCAGTCAGCTTTATTCCCACTTCAGTCTAGGAGAATAAGGCTCAGAGACTAGCAAGTGGCCCAAGACCTTACTGGCAGAGACAGACCTCAGTCCTTTCTGTATATTAGAGTCAATGGAAGAGCTTTTATATATAGCAATGGTTGGACCCCCACCCCCTGACCAGTTAAATCGATCTCCAGAGATGGGTGGTTTTAAAAAATGTCCAGGTGATTCTAATGTACAGTCAAGCAGGGTTGAGAGGCTGTTACAGAGCAGAGCTGCTCATACTTTATGCCCAAATCACTGGGGATCTAGTTAAAGAGTTGACTGACTCAGCAACTCATAGGTCAGGAGAACCCAAGATGCCACATTATTAACAAGCTTCCAGGTGATGCTGTTTCTCCTGTTCGTTGTAGCCCCATACCTCATGTGGCTGGTCAACCAGGCATCTACTATTTAAGATTCACAGCCATTCACAATTGACCCTGAAAATTGGACCTGTAATGACTCATTTATTAAATTTTGCTATAGTATGTTTACTATTGAGCCAAAAGGGGTCAAGAAATTACCTCTTAACTGGAGGATAAAGCCAGTTTCTTCTCACAGGCTGTTTCGTGTTCTGCTAGCGCAACACTTGCCCCTCCCTCCTTTGTCTATGGGATGTAGCTGGGGGAGCTGCTGGTCTCTGAGATTTTGGGTGAAAAGTGACTGGTTCTGGCAGGAACCTCATGAAACACAAGGGTCAGTGTGATCAGGCCAGTCTGGACGTATACCCAGAAAGCAGCTTAGGGCACAGATTTTGGAAGCAGACACTGAAAGGAAGTCTCAGTGAATTTAGGGAGTTGGGACCAAACTTGAGGCTGGGCGGGACTTTCTAAAGTTCAACATAAAATTGTCTTCTGAGGGCCCTGGTATATTGAAAGTAAAATGCTCTAACTGTACACGTCATCTGGCAAGCCACAGAAGTCTGTATTTGATACACAAACATGCTGCCTTAGGTGGTTTCCCTGGATCCCTGAAAGCCCCTCTGAGGCTCACTTCTACTTCCGGGGATGGCAAGATTGAAAAGGCAAAGTCTGTTTTGTAGGGGGTGGAGTTTTTTGTTTGTGCATTGGTGGCACTGAGCAGCATGCAGGATCTTAGTTTCCCAACCAGGGATCCACCCGTGCCCCCTGCATTGGGAGCACAGAGGCTTAACCACTGGACTGCCAGGGAAGTCCTCAAAGCCTGTTCTTGGGTGAACTAGCAGGTGATCTTAGGTGGAAGGCACAGCTTTGGGGCTGAGGAGGTGGTTGACCAGTGAGGTGAGACAAGAGTCCCGGTACTGAAACAAGAGTAGTTGACAAGGGCTTGGCCTCGAAACAAGACAGGAACCCAGCCTGATTAGCTTTAAGGATGATTCTCAGCTGAGTCACTGAGCTGGGCGAGGCTCTCGGCCCCCCTAACTGGGCCCAACTGGGGTGA